CCATTGAAGGAATCTATCCCAAAGCAAGGAATAAGGCAGCGTTCCTCAACCGGGGTGGACTTCAACTGGGGGGAACTCTGAGGGTTGAAATCCACCCCACTTAGAATTGAAGTTCACATCCCTTAAAAATTGCCAAAGTTGAGAAACACTGGAGTACTGTAAAGGTTCCTTGCTGTCAGCGCTCTGAATGAGTCATTTGATTGTAGGCTTAGTGCTAATTCGTGGTGCCTTTATCTACGGTGAATGGGAAAGCCTTCTGGCACCATTTTAATAACAGCTTAGCGCAGAACCCAGGAGGGAATATTCCACGCACCAGCCAGTTAACTCCTTCAACCGGTGGCTCTCGCCTCACCCTGTTGGAGGTGCACCTATCTCGGTTTGAGAAAAGCGGTTTCTCCGCTCCCTGGACAGAGCTGGGCGGTGGGACGGTTCAGTTCAGCTCCCTAGGGATGCGACAGAAAACCAGTTTTAGATAGTAAGGGAACTTGACTTGAGGCGGGGGTGGGTGGGGGAATAAAGGCCCCCATATTGGGAGGTTGGGGAAAGCTGCCATTATTTCGCCACAGATTTCAGCCTATAGAAATAGATATGATTGTAGGAAGAGACCACGAAGAGTTGTTTTTTTTTACCAACGGTCTGACTCTTGGTGCAAAGAAATGTTCTGTGACCTGAGATAGCCTCTATGTGGATGGTGACTGTCCAATGGACATCAGGACAAAGAGCCAAGGTAGCAAACCAACATATAATGTTGCTGTAGGCAGAGCTGGACGAGTCTTGGTCCATGGAGGTGGATTGAATAAGAAGGCCTACTCAATGACAAAATACTTGGGGGACTCTGGGTTCTAGTTGCTAGGCAGACTCTTAAGTATTAGGGAAATTGCTATTAAACTTTCCTGACAGTAATCTACCTTGTGGAAACTTTATTAGCAATGCAGGTTGATGGGGAATGAACCTGTGTCTCCTTTGTATCCCTCTATTGGTGGGGAAAGGTGTTATTCTTTCTTTATTTCTGTTCATCCTTGTTTCCTTGTGTACTCCAGCACTGGTTATGGTTGTGGGAAAGAGAAACTGTCCAAAGAGGGACACTCAGTAAGAAAGCTAATGAACTGGCTTTATACCTGCAGAGGTTTGATATCTAAACAACCTCTCCCCATTCACATAGCAACTCTCATCACAATCCTCGTGTTCACCGTACTACTAGCCTAAAGATGGCCATTTATTTACACATCTTTTCCCTGATGTCATGGCTTCAGTTGCTCTTTTCGTTGGTATGTTAATCATTGTTGTATCCATATTCGGTATCTGGCACCATCTATTGCAAACAGATGATATGCATGATACATTGAACCTGTTTCTTTCATGGGGCCATCAGGGTAGGTCCTCCAGGGCAGACGGGTGGACCTCTCTGCAGAAGGACAGGGACGCTTCCCAAAGGGAGCCGTGGCAACCTCACCCCATTGCCAAGAAGATGAAGCAAGAGCAGAGAAGTGCCGTCCAAAATATCCCTTGTTGCATCACAGCTTTTCAGTAAGACTCTTGCATAACAGCCTGGACTTTTATTGACTCAGATGGAACCTTCGAAGATCATTTTCCACCCCCGGATGGGAAGCCACACAAAAGTGGGGTGAAGTTCATCGATCGCAAGGGGACCAAGACAAGCTTCCTCAGGGTTAGATTTAACTAACACTAAGCATCACTCCGACTTCATCTCCAGCATCTTTTTTCTTAATTTTAACCCTGAGCAGGGAATTGGAGGCCGAATTGGGAAACGATCCGTTTCTTTGCTGGGCTCTGAGCTGATGAAATGCTGTGGGAACGGAAGCAGCAGCACTTTGAAGGCCTCTCACTTCCCCCTTTCACAAGCCAAGAGCTGGTGTTGTGCAGGACCATGACGCGTTTCTAATTCCTCCCCTTCCTCCAGCACAGGAGGAGCGCCCTGGCCCGGTTCCTTTGGCACTAACTGTCAGCGGCACAGGAGAGCCTTCGGCAGAGATAGGCCTGGCTTAAGATCTTCGATACTTAAGATCCTTTCAAACACCTCAAGTTCTGGGATCTTCAGAAAGCATCAGAGGTCCATGATTAAGGAAGGCAGCCCAGGGAGAGTTAAAACAGACCTTCCCTGGCTGTGTCATAATTGTGGTGCTCTGTTTTTAAAGCTTAAGAGATGCAGCAAAGAAACATTTTATTATGGTCCAAAACCAGAGCTTTAAAAATGAAAGCAACGAAATACAGCTCAAGAGGACAATCAGATCTCACTAATTAAGTAGATCACCTCATTGTAGGACTGGGCCTCAGTGTTGTGAAGCCTTGAGTGCAGAATGTAGCTATTCTAAAGGCGACTTCGAGCGCTAATTTTTTTAAAAAAATAGCAATAAATTCTAAATACCATTGATCAGAATTGCCAGGCACTTATCTATAAAAGGGTTACCATAATCGGGAGTGGTAAAAAAAATGTGTACTGATAGAGATTTAAGGTTAAACTTTGGAGTCCTTGGTGTTCTCTGAGCTTGGTGGTTTCCTTGCAAATGTTTCATGACCCAATTAGGGAGTATCATCAATGCAGAAAGGAGGAAGGATATATTATACATAAACAGAGGGCAAACCCCACTCCCTCCTAGAACCATTTATGTTCCCTAATTGGGCCATGAAACATCTGCAAGAAAACCGCCAAGTCCAGGGAGCCACCAAGGACTCCAAAATTCTTTGCAAAATGGACATCTCCAAAAGACACGATCTAAGGTTTTAATTCCATGGGAGACCCAGGGCCATTATCTATTGTGAAGTATGTCAGATTAGATCTGTCTTTCCTGGCTGCAGAGGGAAAGGTGTCGAAGGCCCAGGGGCATTGAGAGTACAGTAACTCAATGTCTAGGTAGCGTGTGGGTTGTGGTTTCCTTGATTCACTACTGAGTCAGTACATGGTAGCCGTGAGGCAGCTGCAGGTTATTTTGGTGTTCTGTCTCTTCCAGTCCATCAGAGATCACAATTATGACTTTTACCCAGGGGAAAAGCCAGATGGATGTTATCTTGGAATTCTACCTCCACCCTATAGAAAGGGGGGAGCAATTGTGTCATTCTTCCATCAGACCTGCTGTATGTTCAACAGTACAGAACAGAACAGAATAATGGGCGGGACCTTGGAGGTCTTCTAGTCCAACTCCCTACCCAAGCAGGAGACCCTATACCAGGGGTGGGCAAACTTTTTGGCTCGGGGGCCACATTGACTTTTAAAATTTGACAGACGGGCCACCACCTGGTGTCGAAATGCCTGTCATTACAAGTCAAAATCAAATTAATGCAATCATTCAATCATTCACATCAAACCTTAATTCTGTACCAATCTTCGGCGGGCCGGATTAAAAAGACCAATGGGCCGGATGTGGCCCACGGGCCGTAGTTTGCCCACCCCTGCCCTATACCATTCCGGACAAACTGTTGTCCAATCTCTTCTTCAAAACTTCCAACGTTGCAGCACTCAACAATTTCTGGAGGAAAGCCATCCCACTGGTTGATTGTTCTCACTGTCAGGAAATTCCTCCTTAATTCCAGGTCGCTTCTGCACTTGATGAGTTTCCATCCGTTGCTTCTTGTCCTGCCTTCAGGGGCTTTGGGGAAGAGGTTGACTTCCCCTCTTCTTTGGGGCAGCCCCTCAAATATTGGAACAAGATGTAGTGACAGGTTTCATGCATAATTCTCATCACGAATATGTCCTGTTTTCATTTGTTGCATCACGCCAAAGTACCTCCAAAATTGCCTGTCGCTTTTAATGGCTAATCTTAAGAGTTTGAAAATGAAGTCTCTACAAAGATAAGGGGGAAAGGAGGATATAAACCACCACATGAAGCTTTTCAATAAAAGTCATTCTGTATTGCAACCTTTGGTAGGCAAACACAGACAAAACGCATTCAGATTGTTTCATAACACTTACAAAGCTTCCTTCACAAGGTTATTACTACCACGGTTCCCACACCAACTTACTAAATCAACGACGACTCTATAATAATAAAGGCGCAAAATATTGCTTCATAGCATATTTTGAAAATAATATAAAAATAATTTTCTATATTATAATTTAAACTTGGCTTGTAAAATTCCAACACAATACAGCCTTTTATGTCTACAAACAAAACATTTACAAACACCTTCCTTTAAGGGATTCTTGTTTTTTTAAAAAAAACAGTATATTATCATTATTTTTCCTTTGTTTTAAAAAAAGAACCATCGTGTGTACAGGAAAAGCGAGTGTGCAAACAACCGACTGAAGTAATTTAAATTCCAGGCCATGTTCTATTCTGCAAGAATTCTGTAAATTTTGCCAGACCTTCAAAGCTAAATGGTCGTACGTTGTAAGAGATTCAAACATCGTCAGGGATGGAAAGCCATTTGGAGTGATAGACAGCTATAATTTTTCATTGCTGGTTCTTTCCCCCAAGATTAAGCATTTCCCCCCAGAATGAAGGAGAATATCACCAATCCACCACTATAGCAACTTATTTCTTTATACCTTCACAATAGACCCTTAGAAATCAACAGAATTGAATCGATAACAGGTAAATAATAAAATAATAAAAATAATTTTAAAAAGAGGTATATTCTTCTACTGCCGTTGTTACGAAGACATGACACTCCTAATTTGGATCTGATATTCTAAATAATATGATTTTGGATACTTTTTAGAGTAGGTTTAGATTTATTCCCATTTATATATTCTGGCCCTTGTTGAATATTTTATAACTGTGTGTATTTGCACATAGATTTTTAACCAACAACATACAGCATTTGCCCTAAAGATAAGCTGGGATATTGCTACCTGCTTTCAACTCAACGCTTAGGAAGCTGAGCCAACATCTCACTCTGCACTTTCCCCAATTTAGGCACACTTTCTCTCCCTTCTTCGACATACACTAAGAAATTCTGGAATCTACCCATTACTGCTTACGATGCTTTTCAAAATTTTGGGGGCTACATCCCTCATATGATATTTAATATCGGGTTTTTTCCAAAGGGAGAGACTGACTTTTGGAATGTGCATGTAACTGCACAATATTTTCCTGTAGAATTTGAATTCCTCCCCTCTCCTATCTGGAGAATGAGATTTCAGGTTGAATTAGAAAGGGTCCTCCCACTTTGACATTATGGGAATTTGTGGAATTGAAGCCCACACTTCTTCAAGTTGCCAAGGTTGAAACATGCCAAGTTAGAGGAATCCATAGAGTTAGAAGAATTGGCATACAGGGTTACGGGAGCTATTGCTACACAACACGTACACAATAGCTCTATCGCCTTTCCAGAATGTTATGGGGAGGACCAAACACATCACCTTTCATTTGTCATCTTGCAAATTCCTTTCACATTTTTTTCCCATTTTAGATATTTCAGTTAGGAATGATGGGGAAAATTACAGAGGCATTGAAAGTGAAAGCATGACATGTTGTCCAAGGAAATAGCCTGGCCATTATTGTTGCTGTTGTTACTTATTTTGCAAGAACAACAATGAGTAATTAACTGAAGGTGGAGAAGGGCACCAGGCACCAGCCTGAGAGAAAAACTTTGCTTCCCAGTTCAACTTTAGCTTCTCATGACCCTTCGGTTATGACTGGCTGCAAAACGTCCAGTAGATGTGCTGCAAAACATCTACCACGCACACACAACACAACTTCTCTGTAAACACGAGCGGATCATGTTTTATTCATTCATTAGCCCTTTGAAATATATTTGTTTTAAGTGAATTATTACAAAGTATGAGAACACCTCGGTATTGTTTGCTTACAAACTTTCCCTTATCTCTTTTGCTCTATAGAAGAAAGGCTAAACTTTTTGCATAATTTTTGTCTTTTAATAATATTAGTAGAATGGCTCAAACCTATCCAGAAAACTGCCTACTTTCTTCAATGCAACTTCCGCCTATTATTTATGTATATTTTAAACATAAATCTTTTTTTAAAAAAAATCATCTGTAAAAACATTGCTTTGCCCAGAACAGTTAGCAACACTAAGTACATTCAACCACTGTTCTAAGATCTGACACACCAAATAAAGAGGATAATTCATCAGAAAAAGAATTCTTACACGAGTGCCACTGAAATGTCAGGTGTGTATTAAGTTGTCCTTGAGAGGCTCCTGTGCATTTCAGCAGGGCTTGTGTAGAAAATCCCCTATTTTTGCACAACAGCCTCTGAAAGTAATCCACCCCCAATTCCGACATCTACATTGGAACTGTTTTTTTTTTTGCACAACTACATTCTTCACTTAGAATTCACTTCCAAGATTACCCCTAGCCCTTAACACACTGAATTGTCTACAATATCCACTTGTCCCACCCCTGACCCAACTCACAGACTTGTACAACACAAATGGAATAAAACAGTAGTAGCATAACGGATTGTGGGTATGTTTGTGTCTTTGTATGCACATGTATTCACTCTTACAGAGAAAGAGAGACAATGAGGGAGAGAAATTTTCTAGTAAAATCTTGTTTGGCTTCGATAAAATACAATCTCTCAGGAATAGAATGTTACTCTACATTAAAAAAAAAACATTTAACAATTTATAGTTTTGAGTCTTTTTCTAAAAAATCCAAATAATCTTTCATGAAAGTTCTAATTTCAGCAACTTTTCATATATTTCATGCATCTAGTTTTCTTTCTGTAAATAGTGGTAATATTTTTTTCCTTTTTTTTCTCTTTCTTTCTTTCTTTCTTTCTTTCTTTCTTTCTTTCTTTCTTTCTTTCTTTCTTTCTTTCTTTCTTTTCTTTCTTTCTTTCTTTTTTTATCTCCACTAACTATTGACTTCTTGTTATTTCAAGGATTTGCATTTGCATAGCTCTACTCCATAGTAATTATAGTCTTTGCAACAATTTAAGGATTAGGCTTCAAATCAAATCGTGAAGAAGAGAAACAGTGGAGTGATTCGAGTAGACATCTGATATTATGCTCCAAGGCAGAGCATCGATTATTTCATGCCTTAAGACTGGTAATATATCTGTATATGTTGCTTGTTTGTGTGCCTGTTTGCGTACATTATTCTGAAAAGATATCATTCGCGTTAGTCTTTGAGCAAAAGAAAAATGGAGTGCATACTAGTGACAATTTTTTTTAGATAACTAACTTTACCTACATAATGTCTACAGAGCTTCTCCATCATCCAGCGCATGGTTGTCCCCAAAGTGCTTTTTCAAGAGGCAACTGGACTTTCTTGGGCTTTCCTTCAGAACTGAAGAAGCTTCTTGGATGAGAAGTGAAACATCTTCAAGGAAAGACAGACCAGTTGCCTCTTGAAAAAAACACTTTTGGGTTCACCTACAGAAGTGTATTCATAGGAATAGTGAAGGCTGTTCCTTCACCAATCTATAATAATAAATATTTGCTTAACTCACCCTCCCTTAAAAACAATGTCCAATTTCTCTCTCTCCCTCTCTCTCTCTCTCTCACACACACACACAGGTTATGAAATACAATCACAGGTTGCTCCCTCTGGTACCATAGTTTCTTTGGCCAAAGAAATGAATCAGCAATCACCACAACCAAGAAGGAACATCAAGACCCCACAGCCTTCTTCAGAACTGGAAGGGAGACTCCTAGGAATGAACTGGACCCAAAGTTCAAGAGCCAGGCATCCCAGTCCCACCTCAGTTGAATATCTTGATCCCAAAGTGGAAGCACAAAAGGCATGGAAAAGACATTCTCCAACACGTTCTTCCTCCCAGATCTTAGAGGAAACATTGACAAAAAAAGCCAATTAGTATTAATAATAGAGTCGTCTCTCTCTCTCTCTCTCTGAGATTTCCCAAAGACTAGGAATAAGCTAGGAATCAGGGTTTCTGTACACATCCTGGTACACTCTTCTGATGTGTGTGTCAGCTGACAGTGTGGACCCATAGTGGGTTGTGATAACCCAACGGCATTTATGGGGAAAAGTTGGCCTTAACTGAGAACTGCCACGCCTTCCCAAAGATAGAGAAACTGTTATAGTCAAGTATTATTCAACCTTCTAAAATTAAAATACTTATTCAGCGATGCCGAGGAAACTTTCTCATTCCTTTTCTAGGCCAGTATGAATGCATCAGCGATTGGCTCTCCAGAAGACTTATGACACGGTGAGTAAAACACACAAGTGAATAACCATGGACAGTAGGCACCTTTGTTTTATATTTAGGGAAGCAGAACCAAATATAAAATGATGCATGATCAGGAGAGGAATTCTTACACCTGGGTGTAAGGATCTTGAATGAGCTTTTCAAAATCACTTGGATGTTTGAAGGTGCTTTCAAGCTGGGGACAAATGATTTCCCTTCTCTTTTTATGAATGGAATGGAACCAAAGGAACAGAATGGGTGAGGATGTACAGGTTGAGATGCAACTTAGGATAGATGTAGACAAAAATTATCCTAAGAGTTAGGTTATATTGCTCTGTATAAGAATGTAACCCATTCTTATGCCCTAACAAGGTCTGCCAATGAAGATGATTACAAGACAAAAACACAACAGAATAGGGAGGAATCCAATAATGGATTGCATCGTGGTTTTTATAACAAACCATTGGCTTTGAAAAGTAGGGAGAAGAAAGATAAAAGTGGTTCCTGCCACTTTTCCCTCAGATCTTACTAAATATATGATTAAATCTAACCTAAATCAGAAGTGATGGAGGTACCATGGCTTTTTCTGAAAGATCATGCATACAGCTGGGGAGTTCTACCCAAACTCAAGAAATATTATCCAAGGAAGGAAAGATTGGTGTGGAAACTAAGATTGCTTCTCTGTCTGTTTTGACTATTTCATCAGCTATGAAGGGACATTATAAAATGTTCTTCCCTTATTCACACTCTGCCTATTCCAAGACGACTAGAGATGACTTCAGAAGAAGGCTTAGCATCTTCAGATGATGCGGATGACCACTGACCAAGATGTTGACAAGGGCTAAAGGTTCAGATATTATATCAATTTGGAATCCACTTGCAAAATTTCTCTTGTTTCTTTGCAAGACCAATCTGGACAAGGGTATACAGGCAGCTTGGAAGATGTTCTCGAGAAGTTGGATTGGCAGCAAGAAAGACACCTGCCATTGTTTTGCTGTAAATGACATTTCCCTTTATTGTCCTTTGCTAAATTTTATGGCTGATTTTAACTCTGATTTATATTTTTGACGGATTTTACTATCTAATGGTTGCTGGCTGCAGAAAGCTATCCATTCGTAAAATAAATAATCAGGGTTGTCCCATTTAACAGATAACTGATAATCAGAGTTGGAAGGGACCTTATAGGTCATCTAGTCCTACCGCCTGCCCAAGCGGGAGACCCTACACCATTTCTGACAAATGGCAGTCCAATCTCTTCTTGAAAGTCTCAAGTGACACAGATCTCGCATGCAACACGAGACCTGTGACAAAACAATCCAATACCTCTAGAAAAGGTATCCGGCTGGTTCAGTAATCCACAGTCTTGATTCAATGGAGCTTTTAAAATAATTGCTGAAATAAATCCAGTTGCTCGTCCTTTTTCTGAATTCAAACTTCGAAGGGCCACATTTAAGAACGTGTAGAAAAAAACCCATAGCTTGCTTTTCAAAAATAGGTGTCCATAATTTAACATCAGTGCAAATGAATACAGACCATTTTTGCCTTCTTCTCTGGAACGGGAAGGATCTAGGATACAGGCTACAGAAAGTTTGGAACGAGCCAACATCCGGGAAAAATGTAACTAAATAACGTGGCAATAACAGTATTCCTAAACTAAGGGAATGGTATAGCCTGCAGTGCAGGATGACAAGCTGACCATATGCAGGATGACAGGCTGCACTACCCTGACCCCAACCTGCAAAGTGCTCATTTTTAATATAGGAGTCGAGCCTTAATTTTAATATCAGCCGGCAAGGTTGTGCAATTGAAGGATAGGCCTGTCCATCTTGACCAATTGGTGTAACCCAAAACCAGAGCTCACTTATAGGAATGAGTGAATGAAGATGTTTCTGTTGGGTGATAAAAGATGCTGTCTTGGACCCACTGCTTTCCTTGGTGGGTCTATGGAAAAAATGGAGTTATAAAAAAACCACAGTTTATAGCAAGGATGTTAGTGAGTTAATATGCACTAAATACACCTTTACGATGCTCGCTTCCCTTAAAAAAAAACAGCAAAGGAAGAAGAGCGACGGAACATGACATTTCTTCTGTGGAGGTGATCCACAACAGGAGTGGGGAACTCTGGGACTTCTGTAACTTGTGGGCTTCAATTCCCAGAATTCAGCTTGTCGACGTGTGGACTTCAGCTCCCAGAATTCCTGAGCCACTCCACACACTCCCAAAAGGGCCAGAGTTCCCCACCTCTGATCTACAGAATGAGGCAGACACATTTGAACACTTACCACACCACGTCTTCTATTTTTATGACTTTTTCCCTAACCTTTCTACTACCTGAGTGATGTCAGTGTGAATTCAGGCACCATTAGTAAAGTTTTGACCATGCGGATACAGCACTGACAGAGAAGAAAAGACCCTTTCCGATTACCAGCGTATGTAAAAAAGACACCAGTTAAATGGGAAGCCACCAACTCTTGATCAACCACAGATCCTCGCTTTCTTTTTTTTGTTTTGTTTTGTTTTTGTTTTCCTGCCCACTACCCCTGCAAAAAAAAAGAAAAATTTGAAAAGCTAGCGCTTTCTAGAAACACCCCCCCGTTCTTTCCTCTTTCAGTCCCTTACCCCATAACAGTATGTCCTAAGTAAGAAAAAGAATGAAATAAATATTTATTCGAAGAGCTCCATGTCTTCAATGTCGGGACCTTTTACTCTCCCGCTCCCTACGTTTGAGTTCCTCCTTGTAGCAGCAGGAGCAGAAGTTCTTGGTTTCGGGGCGGCCGTAAAAGGAGCAATTCTCCGTCTTGCAACGGTTCTGCTGGATGGCGTACAGGGGGCAAACCGTGGTCCGGCTTCTGTTTTTCTCATTGTTCAACCAGGTTTGTGGAGCTTCTTCGTCCACGTACTCTAAGCTGTCTCTAATGTCGTTGCTATTATTAAACCCATTGGTGTACGTTTGTGACTTGGGGTCCGTGGGCAGAGTGTAGGCCAAGGATTCCACCGTGTTGACCGTACGGATGTCGGCTATCCGGGCTGGACTATAACTCTGCGAGGACAAGGAGCGGTTCTGCTGAGGATAGGTGGCGCACGTTTTAAGGGTGCCCACCACGGGCTTGTAGGCGTCGTCTTGGGAGCTGGATGGCTTGGCGTTGAAGTCGTGCAAGTGGATGACGCTCTGCCTTTGAACGGGGGGCGTATGGCTATAATGGGCAGATACTGGGATGGGACCACTCTTCTTGGCGCTGTTGCTAGGGGACGAGAAGGAAGCCGCTGGGGGAGCAGAACGGTCCTTGAACTTTAAAACCAGCTGAGTGGTATGGCTTTGAGACAACACTGGTGATGCCCTCCCCTGAGGAGATGAGTCCAGCTTCTCCTTGGAAAACCCTTCTTGGTCCAATTTCCGAGAAGAGGAGCCGCCGAGAGCCGCGGCCTTCTTCTCCGCCTCTTTCCTCTTCTGCTCCTGTTCAGCACTGAAGCGCTCTTGGGCACTGGTCAAGTAGTAGCCAATCATCTCCTCGTGGAACTGGTGTCTATGGCTGGTCAGGAGAAGGCCGGCAAAAATGAACTTCCGCTCTCCTTGCATGGCGGCTCTCAAGATGTTGAGGCTCAGCTTCACGTCCGTGCTGTATTTCCAGGAGTCCGGCTGCTTCTCGGACGGAGATTTCGAGTTGGCCTTTTCTGCGGGGGAGATACTCGCCTTCTCCGTGGGCGATGGGGTGGTCTTCTCCGAGGGGGACGTGCTCGCAGAGCGGCCCGATTCCTCTTTGCTTCCTTTACGCGATTTGGACTTCTTCTCTTTAGGCTTCTCTGTGATCTCCCCGTTTTTGCCGTTCCCGGCGTTGGCTCGGTTGATCTTTCCATGGACCAACCCACCAAGACCACCCATGTTCTTCTTCAGCTTGATGCCCAGAGTCTTGCTGAGACTTCCAAGTTTGTTAGCCACCGAATCCCCTCGGTTCTTCTCCTTGTCTTTCCTCTGCTTCTCTTTCTCTTTCCCGTTTTTGCCGTTATTGCTGTTGGAATTACTACAGATGGAATCCCTGTCTGAATCCATGGAGTCTGCCAACGACTGGACATCTTCTCCAGCTGAGGCAGTAGGAGATTCCGGTTGAGCCAACGGAGCCTGGGAAAGAAAGCAGGACAACCATTAGAAACCGGGAGTGGTTGTAACCCAAAGAACCGTTGTGTACATTTGCAGGCAGTTTGTCCAAACTCTTCACTTCTGAAGATCAAATTATCTTTAAAGGCATGGGTTGTTGTGCATAACATCTGGTTAACACCACACCCAGATGAAACTCTACAGGGGCAGCCAGCTTAATATTTGGGAGGGAAATTACTTGGTTTTCATTCAACGAGTTGTAAAATTTTTCACCAAGCTTTTTCAGTCATTGGCATCCAAGCTGAGGGATAATGCAGTGGAAGGAATTAGATATTAGCATTTTATACAGTTACATTCTGATTTAATCTGGTTAGGTGTCATGAAGTAAGGCTGATGCTACAACCACAGCCCAAATCGTCTACAAAAGTGAAAATTGCGAGCGATTCCTAGAAGCTTCCTAGATTTTGCCTACCATCCAAGCATTCTTTCTGTACTGTTGTGTGGGTGTTATTCCTGTTAACACAACTGGGCAGGAGGCTGTCTTTTGCCCTTGTGTTCATGCCCAGCCCTGGGTTGCCAGTTTTTGAGTGGAAACTCAAGCCAAACAAATAGACCTTATTTCTCTCAAGCCACCAGGCAAAGGAAAAACATTTACCCGTGTTTCTGACGGCATGCGAATCCAGGTTACATTCATGTAACTGTGCAGAAGGTTAAGCTTGGCCTCCAGAGACAGAATCAAACTGGGAACACAAAAAAGAGAGAAGGGGGAAACCCACCATGTCGTATACGTTACACAAAAGGAATTGCCATAGGTGTTCACACTGCAAAATGATCTCTCCAACCCGCCATCTTAAAGGTGAGGACAGGACCAGGAAGGAAAGAAAAAGGAGTTTCTCCCACGAGGATTGAAAAATATACCCCATTCGTGTCTCCTCTGGTGAGACCCAATCTGGCTGTGATTGTGTTACAAGACCGCTAACGCTCCAAGCTTTCCCTCGAGTTTGAGATCCCCGTTCTGCAAAGCCTACCGAGAGGCCTGGAGACGCATAAGGGCCGCTTTCGAAATCTTAAAAAGAGACGGAAAAGAACCTTACTTGGCCAATTTGATGTTATCGCTGTCGTCGGTGCCCCATTCCCAGTCTTTGCCTGGATCAACCGCGAAGTGCAAAGGCAGTAATTTATGCTCAGAATCGGTCAGGGGGATCACCGCTGAAGGAAAGAAGAAAAGGTCAGAAAGGAAGGCGATTTGGGAAAGAAGCAGCAGCAATGGCTGAAGAAAAGAGAGAGAGAGAGAGAGAGGGAGGGAGGGAGGGAGGGAGGGAGGGAGGGAG